ACAATGGGAGACCTCAATATTTTAGTTCTTAAAGGAAATTTCAAATCCATTCAGGAAAGAAAAACTTTTGAACTAAGAATGATAATTCTATTTGACACAAGAGATAACGGCCTGAATTTGGACATGGGATTCCTCACTCATTATCCAAAATTTTATGACTATCAGCTCAAGCTTGACTCCCTCTGTGTGTGAGTGAGTGAGTGTTGTCTTCTCCCCCCCCCCCCCCTCCCCCTTTGCTTTTGCTGTGTCTTCGCTAGCCTTTTTTTTTTTTTTTTTCATCATCTCTTCTAACATTCTGCTAAAACTTTGTGATTTGTATAGTAGTGCTTGGACCTTGAAGGGGACACTCCCCGAAAGCTTGTCTTCAAAATTGTATGTTAGTGCAAATAAAAAAAGTATCACGGACAGTACTCAATTGTTTCTTTGGAAAACAAAGAAATGAAAAAAAATTATTTTCATTATTTTTTTTTTTTTTTACATACCGTCACCAGTGCAGTACAGCGTCATCATATAACTGGCATTGCAGTGATCAGGGACACTGACTGGTGGCAGTACGGGAAAAAAAAAAAAAAATTTTTTTTTTCATTCTTTTAATATTTTTAATTTTATATTGCATTTTTTTCTCCTTTTTTTTAAGATTTTTTTTTTCATATTCTACTATGACCAAAATAATATAATGTTACCATAGTAACATTGTACTACTTTGGGGAAGTGATCAGTATTTTTTTTCTTTTTTTTTACACAATTTGCTTATAGCAAAGAATTGCTTTGCTATAGGCAAGCATTTACCTGAATGAAATCGCTTCATTCAGGGTTTTTTTTTTTTTTTTTTTGTGATTTAGCTGTGATTTGGCCACGGCTAATCACATGACAAAGCTGGGCTGTGATTGGCTCAGCTTGTGCATGTGACACACTTGTATACAATGGATGGCATGAAAGGAAGCCATCCATTGTATACAACTGTCATGTGACTTGCTGTGATTGGTCACAGCAGGTCACATGGTACTGGCAACGGGGCCGATACACAGATCTGTCATCAGCCGTGTCCGAGGTACACGGCCGGTGACAGATCTCGCCACAAGGTGGCCCTGCGGGCATGTGCAATACACGTTCCGGAAAGGACGCCATGTGGCGTCCACCCAGAGGGTCGAGCTGTTCGCCCGGCACCATCTGGCTATAGACTGGGGGGCAACTGGTTAAGGACCCGTGGGTGTATGCCATCTGGTCCAGGTGCTTTATTCACCTTTTATTCTGTCTAAATATTTTTGGATCATATCAATTGTGAGCCAGTGTGGATCATCTGGAGCTGTGTGAATATCATACCCATTATGAGATTTTGAATATTTAATGATTCCAAGGTGGAAAGGAGGAACTTACAAGAACCGTTTCGATTTGCATGGAGGGAAAGAGATTTAAAGTATTTGGGAATAAAACTAACCCCTGCAACAAAGGACCTATACCAGGCTAATTATATCCCACTATTAAATGAAATTAAAGAGGAACTGAGAAGACTCTCAGGAGGGATGGGCTTCATGGATTGGACAAATAAATCTGGTTAAGATGGTTATCAGGGCCAAAAATCCTGTAAGTTTCAGATGTTCCCTATAAACTTTCCTGGATCCATTTTTAGGATAATAAAAAAATTGATATTGAGGTTTATATGGGCTAACCAAAAACCAAGAATTATGAAACCTTAAGTTATCATAAAGAGAATGGAGGATGAAACTTGTCAAATATGAGCAAATATTATTTGTCAGTGTTATTATTACAGGTGGTGGATTGGACACATAATTCACAAGAAAAAAGTTGGGTTAAAATTGAAGGCATATTAAGTATAACACAGTTGGAGAGGATCATATGGATCCCACAAGAATTTCGGGCATTAGATAAAAATAGTAGCACATTGACACGGGATGTATTAAGGTATTGAGAGTTTGGGATGGTTTACACAATTCCGTGGGTTGGAAATAGAATTAATTACACTTTTCAACAAATTTTTATTTTTTGCCAGTTTTGGAAACAAAAGGATCCATTTCTTAATGAATTTCACATTCTGAGTTCAAATATAACAATGAAATTTGTCAATTGGCTCTAGTTTTTCTGTAAACGGAAAGTTTTCTATTATAGGCTTAATGACTACATAATGCACAATAATTATATAGATAGATGTCTTTCCACAAATATAAAGCAAGTGATATTGACTACATAACAAAGCCTAAATGGCATAATATATTGCATAGGATTACCAAGAAAAATTATAGCCATAAGCTAAGTTAATCATTTTAATACTTAGGATTCTCACTAGTTTTGTCTTCAGTTTGTGTCGGTTTTGCTTCTCTTGGCTTTTCTCTTGTATTCGAGGAAAGGGCTATCTCTTACAACTGCACGTGACTACACGCTTCAGGTTCTTCCTCACTTGACTCAACCACGAAGGATTCTGGTGCTTTAGGAATTGGTAGCCCCTCTCCATAAGGAACTGGACGTATTGCCGATGGAATATTTGGATAGTGCACAGATAACTTTTTCTTCTTATTTAGCCCTTTTACAATTGGAGGCACCATACAAAAGTAACAATTACTAACATGATCTGTTGGCTCTCTCCAAATCATTGGCACAGCGAAAGGCATAGATGCCTTTTTTCCATTCAACCATTGCTCCAGTGCCGTCCCACAAGAATTGCAGCATATATGTGGTGCCCAGCTCTTGTCCTGGTCTCCTAACTTGCAGCCAAAATACAAGTTGTAGGCTTTCTTAATCATTCCTGTTATCTTCCTTTTTTGTGAGATAAAAGTTATTTCACCGCAGATATAGCAGAGATTATCTGCTTTATTCACACAAGTTCGAGGCATTACTGAGTAGCCTATATAAGCATAAAACGAAATGTAAAGACGCTGTCGAACTACAATCAGCTACAGATACAGCAGCTTTTATGCAGTGAAGTGATGCAACTAAAGGCTAATATTACATCATCTCAGTATACATGCAATTTTCTATTGGTCACCAGTATCAATTGCGCAATATGCAGCTGAAGTTGCATCATAATTTTGAATGGCTTACGTCATTAGATGGGTGAATATATCATGGAAACTAGAGCCAATCAACATTTTTTAGGGTCATTTTCGTTTTCAGCACCCCAAAATTATGTAATATTAGCTAATTTTATGCCCAAAACTTTTTACCTGTTGAACAGTGTTATTGTTGCCGTTGGTGGACACAGAATTTTTTGTTTTCTGCCTTAGATGAATTGAGATATTGCCAATTGTCTCAACGCTCCCTCAGCCCCTGAGGATGGGGGGGGGGGGGTCGGGGGGGTGGAACGACATGCTCCCATTTGAAAAACTGAGTTCTAAGACAGATTGTGGACATATAATATCTATGATTTATAAGATCCTGGTAGAATTGGTGAGAGCTGGATCCCCATCGTTCTCGGAAGGTTGGGAAAGAGAACTGGGTACAAAGATGAATGATCACCAGAAGAGGAAAATGTTTAAGTTAATGCACAGGGTGATGAACATGAACATCAACTATATGTTGAGTTGAACTATAAATATCTGTCTGGATGGTATTGTACACCGAGTGTGGCACATAAAGAGGGAGAAGAAGTATCATCTTTATTCTGGAGAGGGTGTGGGGCAATAGGGACAATGGCTCATATATAGTGTGAATGCCCAAAAATTCAGTTGTTTTGGCAGGAGATAATTCATCATATAAAGGAGATTTGGGGGACATCTATCCAGAAGGATCCATGGGTGTGTCTTTTCTATAAAACAGAGATGTCAGTAAACCATATAAAAAACAGTTTATTATACCATCTGATTAGTGCGGCAGAGGGTTTAATCCTTACGTTTTGGAAAGCCCAGGATCCTCCAACAATGAGGGATTGGATAGACAGAATTGAAAATGTTAACAGGATGGAGGAACTTTGTTACATGGAGAAAGATGAAATGGAAAAATTTAGAAAGATTCGGGGTAGATGGTATGAGTTTAAAACATCAGAAAAATACTTAAAAGTAAAAGGCCCCCCGGTAGCAAAATCAGAGAATTTGAATAGTTAAACAGATCTATATACATGACTAGATCAATAGGATGGGAAAGAGAGAATAAGATGAAATTGGACAGGGTTTTTTTGTATTGGGGGGGGGGGGGGGGGGGGGAGGGGTTGGGGAGGGAATGGGGATGGGGAGGGAATGGGGATAAAGTGTATGTGTATGATGTTTCCAAAAATGTATGGCTGTTTTGTAATGTATCTTTTAAAAGAAAATCCAATAAAAGATATAATAATTTAAAAAATACCATTCCCATTATGGACAAGAGCTCCCCCATGCTCCTTTTGTATCCACAGAGCTGAAAAGGGTATTTAGTAAATTTGCCTTTTGTCCCCAGTCACCCAGTCTAGATTATTTTGTAAAGGGCCTACATGCTCGGATCTCACCTTTTTACTATTATTATATTTGAAGAATTTTTGGGGATTTGTCTTGCTATCTTTTGCAATCTCTTGTTTGTTTTCAATTTTTGCTGCCTTCATTTCCTTTTTGCATATTCTGTTATATTCTTTGTAATGTTTAAATGATGATAGCATTCCTTCATTTTTATATTTAATAAAACTCTTTTCTTCTCTATAGCTTTTTTTTTTTTTTAACTTTGGCCGTAAGCCACATTGGTGTGATTTTTTTTTTTTTTTTTTTTTTTTTTTTTTTTTAGCCTTGTAAACTTGTTGCCCATGGAAATATATTTTTCAGTGTGTTCACATAAAGTCTTTTTGAAGAACTCCCATTTCTGTGTTGTGTTCATTGATGCCAATATTCCTTCCCAGTCGAAGTCTTAGAGAGCAGCTCTCAGCCTTGAAAAAATTTATTTTTTTTTCCCGTATCATAGTCTAGACTCAATCAGAATATCTGTTTCTATTATAGCAAAACATCAGAAATCATGTATGAATTACATTTCTCAAACTGGAAGCACTGTATCAACTAATAGATTCTTTATTTTTTTTATTTATGCAGATCCGCGTATTTACAAATTCTTTCACTATTTCACCATATAATGGAGCAGAGGCTCTGGTAAGTAAAAACAAGGACCCAAATACATTGTTCTTTAAGCTGCTTTAAAGGTAAAAGAAAATACATCAAATCTACAACAGAAATCCCTATATGTACTCATATGCTTGCATATGTATATACAGTCAGGTCCATAAATATTGGGACATCGACACAATTCTAACATTTTTGGCTCTATACACCACCACGATGGATTTGAAATGAAACTAACAAGATGTGTTTTTAACTGCAGACTGTCAGCTTTAATTTGAGGGTATTTACATCCAAATCAGGTGAACGGTGTAGGAATTACAACAGTTTGCATATGTGCCTCCCACTTGTTAAGGGACCAAAAGTAATGGGACAATTGGCTTCTCAGCTGTTCCATGGCCAGGTGTTTGTTATTCCCTCATTATCCCAATTACAATGAGTAGATAAAAGGTCCAGAGTTCATTTCAAGTGTGCTATTTGCATTTGGAATCTGTTGCTGTCAACTCTCAAGATGAGATCCAAAGAGCTTTCACTATCAGTGAAGCAAGCCATCACTAGGCTGAAAAAACAAAACAAACCCATCAGAGAGATAGCAAAAACATTAGGCGTGGCCAAAACAACTGTTTGGAACATTCTTAAAAAGAAGGAATGCACCGGTGAGCTCAGTAACACCAAAAGACCCGGAAGACCAAACACTCTCCAGGGAGGTAGGTGTATGTGTGTCAAAGTCAACAATCAAGAGAAGACTTCACCAGAGTGAATACAGAGGGTTCACCACAAGATGTAAATGTAAACCATTGGTGAGCCACAAAAACAGGAAAGCAGATTAGAGTTTGGCCAAAACGACATCATAAAAAAGCCTTCACAGTTCTGGAACAACATCCTATGGACAGATGAGACCAAGATCAACTTGTACCAGGGTGATGGGAAGAGAAGAGTATGGAGTAGGAAAGGAACTGCTCATGATCCTAAGCATACCACCTCATCAGTGAAGCATGGTGGTGGTAGTGTCATGGCGTGGGAATGTATGGCTGCCAATGGAACTGCTTCTCTTGTATTTATTGATGATGTGACTGCTGACAAAAGCAGCAGGATGAATTTCTGAAGTGTTTTCGGGCAATATTATCTGCTCATATTCAGCCAAATGCTTCAGAACTCATTGGACGACGCTTCACAGTGCAGATGGACAATGACCCAAAGCATACTGCAAAAGCAACCAAAGAGTTTTTTAAGGAAAGAAGTGGAATGTTATGCAATGGCCAAGTCAATCATCTGACCTGAATCCGATTGAGCATGCATTTTACTTGCTGAAGACAAAACTGAAGGGAAAATGCCCCAAGAACAAGCATGAACTGAAGACAGTTGCAGTAGAGGCCTGGCAGAGCATCTCCAGGGATAAAACCCAGCGTCTGGTGATGTCTATGCGTTCCAGACTTCAGTATTAAAAAGCGAAAGTTTGAGTTATGATTATTATTCTGTCCCATTACTTTTGGTCCCTTAAGAAGTGGGAGGCACATATGCAAACTGTTGTAATTCCTACACCGTTCACCTGATTTGGATGTAAATACCCTCAAAATTAAAGCTGACAGTCTGCAGTTAAAGCACATCTTGTTTGTTTCATTCAAATCCATTGTGGTGGTGTATAGAGCCAAAAATGTTATAATTGTGTCGATGTCCCAATATTTATGGACCTGACTGTATATCCTGCCACTGTAATTAATTTGAATATTAACACTTTTGCTGCCAGGTCCTTGCACTTCACTTCTAAACACAGGTGGCCAGATCATATTTGCAATTTTTTTTTCCCTTTTTTTTCAGATTTTTCTTATACACCTTTCAAAGTGTGTTTTTAATCCCTTGCTGACTGCCATACATAGATATACATACTGTCAGCAAGTGGTTATACCAAGCTTTTGGCTGCAGCTGTCAATAGTTTGTTTCTGTAAAGGTGATCTTGGTGGATATTCAGCTGCCTGATCTCTTTATACAATACTGAGAGAACACAACATCACTTAAAAGATTCCTAAATGTGTATTGAGTTAATAAACAATATTTGTCAATTTAAAATGTTACCTTTTTTTTTTGCAAAACCATGAAAAACAAAGGTATGCAAAACTGTAAATAGGCAAAGTACTTTAAAAATCTGGAGGTTACCATTTTTCACTTACAGCTTTCAGAATTTGTAAAAGACCCCCAAACTATACATATTCTGAAAGCATGGGACCGGTAGAATAAAGTTGATGCTACTGATTTTTTAAGTCCCGCGATAGTTGCACAAATGTTTATCAAAATTTTTTTTCAGTAAAAATAAACTAAAATCATTGTTTGCAGATACAGGCACAACATATCTTACAACATTTCTACTACATCTGAAAGATAAAATGGTCATGAGTTCATAAATAAATATATGTACATTTTAAATTGTGACTTTTTGCAAAACCGCGAAAATTGAAGGTATGCAAAAAAAAAAAACATCTAGAGATTCACAATTGCAACGCCATGTGTGTGCTGCACGATAAAATGATGCAGGCATACATAAATTTTGCAATGTGTGGCAAAGTACTGCTGAACACAGCTACAGGTCCCAATCTGACAGGCATTCGGGACTGCACCTCTCACAGATTAGGACCTTGGGCTTTGTCCTCACAGACAGGCAGCTCCAGTCACATAAACAAAACAAAAAACTTTCATGCTGTACAGGCACCAGTGTCCATATGTTTGGGCCCTTAATTATATTTTTTATATCATTTAATTTTACTATTTTAATTTTTTTTTGGGGAGGGCAGAGGCTTTTGTCGAAATATCGGAGGTACAGTGAGGAACAGAAGTATTTGAACACCCTGTGATTTTGCAAGTTCTCCCACTTAGAAATCACGGAGGGGTCTGAAATTCACATTGTAGGTGCATTCCCACTCTGAGAGACAGAATTTAAATAAAAAAAAATTCAGGAAATCACATTGTATGATTTTTAAAGAATTTATTTGTCTTGCACTGCTGAACATAAGTATTTGAACACCTAAAGAAAGATCAGAATTCTGGCTCTCAAAGACCTGTTACTGTGCCTTTAAAAAGGCCACCTCTACTCCACTCATTAATCTAACGTAGTAGCACCTATCTGAGCTCTTTAAAGACACCTGTGCACCCCACAGTCAGTCAGACGCTAACTACTACCATGGGCAAGACCAAAGAGCTGTCAAAAGACACCAGAGACAAAATTGTGGACCTCCACAAGGCTGGAAAGGACTACGGGGCAATTGCAAAGCAGCTTGGTGAAAATAGATCAACTGTTGGAGCAATTGTTAGAAAATGGAAGAGGCTAAAGACGACTGTCAGTCTCCCTCGGACTGGGGCTCCATGCAAGATCTCACCTCGTGGGGTATCACTGTTGATTAAAACAGGTGAGGAATCAGCCCAGAACTACAAGGGAGGAGCTGGTCAATGACATGAAGAGAGCTGGGACCACAGTTTCAAAGGTCACTGTCGGTAGAAACACTACACTGTCATGGTTTCAAATCATGCATTGCACGAAAGGTTCCCCTGCTCAAGTCATCACATGTCCAGGCCCGTCTGAAGTTTGCCAATGACCATCTGGATGATCCAGAGGAGGCATGGGAGAAAGTCATGTGGTCAGATGAGACCAAAGTAGAACTTTTTGGTCCAAACTTCACTTGTCGTGTTTGGAGGAAAAAGAAGGATGAGTTGCATCTCAAGAACACCATCCCTACTTTGAAGCATGGGGGTGGTAACATCATGCTTTGGGGGTGCTTTTCTGCGAAGGGGACAGGACGACTGCACTGTATTAAGGAGAGGATGAATGGGGCCATTTATTGTGAGATTTTGAGCAACAACCTCCTTCCCTCAGTCAGAGCATTGAAGATGGGTCGTGGCTGGGTCTTCCAACATGACAACGACCCGAAGCACACAGCCAGGATAACCAAGGAGCATATCAAGGTTCTGGAGGGGCCTAGCCAGTCTCCAGACCTAAATCCAATAGAATATCTTTGGAGGGAGCTGAAAACTCTGTGTTGCTCAGCGACAGCGACAGCCCCAAAACCTGACAGATCTAGAGGAGATCTGTGTGGAGGAGTGGGCCAAAATCCCTGTTGTAGTGTGTGCAAACCTGGTCAAGAACTACAGGAAACGTTTGACCTCTGTAATTTCAAACAAAGGCTTCTATACCAAATATTAACACTGATTTTCTCAGGTGTTCAAATTCTTATGTTCAGCAGTGCAAGATAAATAAATTCTTTAAAAATCATATAATGTGATTTCCTGAATTTTTTTATAAATTCTGTCTCTCAGAGTGGGAATGCACCTACAATGTGAATTTCAGACCCCTCCATGATTTCTAAGTGCGAGAACTTGCAAAATCGCAGGGTGTTCAAATACTTCTGTTCCTCACTGTATAAACATGTCATCTGACATTGTACTTTTGAGATAGAGAGAGACAGATTGCGGATACAGAGTCCTCAATCCCCTTCTCTGCTGAATAGAGCACTTTCTGTTCATTATTCAATGCATTTGTGGCTGCAGAGTCTGTTCTGCTATAGGTTCATAAGCTCTGCTATATGTTCATGAGCTTATAGCAGAAGGGAGAATTCAGTGAATGTAAGGTATACTGACCTGGCCAACTGGAAGCGGTTCTGTGCCGTTGTATGCCTTACATTGGTGGCAGTGAAAGAGTTAAGCAATAAAGCAGAGATTTCTTTTAATTTTGTATTCTTTTAAATTATTGTAAAGTAAATACGTTATTGACATTGTCAATTGAGAAATGAGTTTGTATCTTCCCAGAGAACAGATTTCCTGCTTTTTTCTCTCTGTGTAATAGTTTAAGTATATTAATGTTAACCATATTCATTATTACCAAAGGATGCCTGGCAAGGTTTAACAAATAAGGGAACCTGTGGCCACTCTAGAATGTGTCCTATGCCTAATGGCACAGATGCCTCTCAAAGAATCAATTTCTGAATGTACTGATTGGCATTTGTTTATATATGTTTTTTTTCTCTGCATTGGCCACGCTCTTTACCACTTTTTTACACTAAAAAAAAAAAAACAATTCCAAAGTAGCTGTTTAAAGAATGAATTCCCTTTCCTAGTTTAAGGCTAATTCTAACTTTCATAGCATGTTTCTTGTTCTACCCATATTTAGGGTGTAACCTACAACATGGTGCCATTTCCCTGCCCTAACCACTGCAGGAATCCCACCGGATTCTGTTTCATTTTGAATTTGGTGTGGCTGTGCGTGACTCCATCTGCAGAGCCATGCCATCCATTCACAGAGAGATGTAAATGAGGGGGCTACAAGTCCCATCAGAGGGCAGAGGGACTTTTAATTCTCAATGGAGCACAAGTGTGGTGACATTACTACATTTGTAGTCCATTGGCACTTTCTCCAGCTCCACAACTAAAGATGTGGCAGGCATGTCTGCATGAGCCTGTGCATTGCACCTTTGATCCATTGATCGCTGTAGCAGTGCTTTGCAGCCGCAAATACAAAAACCTTTTATAAATGCACATTTTTTTTCAATGTGTATGCATTTATTAAAGCATAAGTTTAGTTTTCTAAAAAATCAACAACCTCCTTCATTCATAGAGACTGTATTCTGTGGATGACGAACCAATGGATCTGCCTGTCTTCTATTCATAGACTGTTTGTTTTTCATAGAGATTATCGTAGATGGTGACCCTAGAATTATCTTTCACTCTGGCTAGTGCAGGGATTCCCAGTATGTGTTGCACAATCGTTGTTTACGTATGCATGTGTGCCCTACACTTGCATATGTGTTGGGTGGGGGATTTTAACTTTTTTTAATGAATTCTTATTTTAGATGTATTTATATTAGACCCCTAATGCCTTCCTAAACTAAGACCAATCAGATTGGGAGACATAGAATTCTTAATCTGTTCTTTACCTGGCTATAACTGTTGTAATCTGACAGCTCTAAATTTGAAGATTCCCAGCGCTTTTAGAGAACTTGATTTTGCAGAGAACAAGGATTGGAAGTTCCCCAGTTTCCCAGTGCTATCCATCCCGAGGGTATTTTTTTTTTAATGTCCTGTACTCCCAGACCCCCACCTGGGGTGGCGGGGGCCACATTTACTGCCTCTTGGCAATATTCACATTCTTGTAGAAGTGATCATTTCTGTGTTCCCTTCTGAAATTTTCAACATTATTGTTTTGTATATATTTTTTTTTTCAGTTGTGGTTATTTAACCAAAGACCAGAATCTCTTAACCCCTTGGCGAAATATCACAGCTGTACATCTGGATTAGGCAACAGTTATGTTCAGCCTTTCAAGGTTAGTATTTTACTTTTCTGTAAGGTAGTTAAATCTGTATTTACTATAGTAAAGGCAAAGCTGTATATTTCAAGTGAAAAAAGGCTTGGTTTTATAATAGACTGTTCGAGTAAAGGATAAGTTCAACTTTGGAACATGTTACATGTATTTACATATTACATGTATTTAGTATGTAACATGTTCCATTAATAATAAATGGAAAAAACAATAACTGCGCTTAGCACCTTAATAACCAGTTGTATCAAATGTGCTAACTTGTGCACAGCAAATATAAACACCATATTAATCAGTGTTATGCCATGCAAACAAATATGGTCATTAGGCCCACATATCATAAATCATAAAGTTCTTGTGCTTCAGGAAATAAGAGTGCTCTTCCTTTGATCGTGCTCTTGTGCCCCACATGGACTTACACTTACCCTTTATTCATGACCACCTATCCCTAGTATGGTCATATACGCTTATGGGGCGACCTGTTTTGATGGTGTGGGCGTTCTTCTCTTTCAGGGAGCTTGCAGTCCTATGCTGTATTAGCTGGCAGGTTCATATACAGGGTTAAAAGGTCTCTTCCTCTGTGCTGAAAGGGTCAATGAAGCTATTGTCTGATACTGCTAGAACTGGATTGCTGTATGTTCTGGTGTGGTGGGACTCTCTAAGGTGTTCTTATTTCACTCCAGGGAGACTTCTCAACAATATTCCCAACCTGCCAAAGACCTCAGTGACTCTGGATCATAATCCGTGTACGGGCAGGTGTCCCAATACTTTTGGCAATATAGTGTAGGTGGTCATGATTAAGGGTGTGTGTAAGCCCATGTGGGGCACAAGAGCACTCTTATTTCCTGAAGCACAAGCACTTTGTGGGACTTTATGATATGTGGGATAATGACCATATTTTTTCACAGTGGATATAAAAAGTCTACACACCCCTGTTTAAAATGTGATGTTTCTGTGATGTAAAAAAAGAGACAAAGATAAATCATTTCAGAACTTTTTCCACCTTTTTAATGTTACCTATAAACTCTAAAACTCAGTTGAACAACAAACAGAACTCTTTTAGGTGGAGGGAAGTAAAAAATAAAATAATATAATATAGTTGTATAAGTGTGCACATCCTTAAACTATTACTTTGTTGAAACACCTTTTGATTTTATTAGAGTACAATATTTGCCCACTCTTCCTTGCAAAAACACTCCAAATCTGTCAGATTGCAAAGGCATCTCCTGTGCACAGCCCTCTTAAGATCACCCCACAGATTTTCTATTGGATTCAGGTCTGGGCTCTGGCTGGGCCATTCCAAAACTTTCATCTTCTGGTGAAGCCTTTCCTTTGTTGATTTGGGTGTATGCTTTGGGTTGTTGCCATGCTGAAAGATTAAGTTCCTCTTCATGTTCAGCTTTCTAGCAGAAGCCTGCAGGTTTTGAGCCCATATTGACTGGTATTTGGAACTGTTCATAGTTCCCTCTACCTTGATAAGGCCCCAGTTCCAGCTGAAGAAAAACAGCCCCAAAGCATGATACTGCCACCACCATGCTTCACTGTGGGTATGGTATTCTTTTGGTGATATGCAATGTTGTTTTTGCGCCAAACATCTTTTGGAATTATGGCCAAAAAGTTCAACTTTGGTTTTATCAGACCATAACACATTTTCCCACGTGCTTTTGGGAGACTTCAGATGTGTTTTTGCAAAATTTAGACGGGCTTGGATGTTTTTCTTTGTAAGAAAAGGCTTCCATCTTGCCACTCTACCCCATAGCCCAGACATGTGAAGAAATGGAAGATTGTTGTCACATGTACCACACAGCCAGTACTTGCCAGATTTTTCTGCATCTCCTTTAATGTTTCTGTAGGCTTGTTGGCAGCCTCCCAGACCAGTTTTCTTCCTGTCTTTTTTTTTTTTTTTTTTTAAATCAATTTTGGAGGGATTTCCAGTTCTTGGTAATGTCACTGTTGCGCCATATTTTCTCCGCTTGATGATGACTGTCTTCACTGTGTTCCATGGTATATCTAATACCTTGGAAATTCTTTTGTACCCTTCTCCTGACTGATACCTTTCTAACAATGAGATCCCTCTGATGCTTTTAGAAGCTCTCTGCGGACCATGGCTTTTACTGTAGGATGCGACTAAGAAAATGTCAGGAAAGACCTACTAGAACAGCTGAACTTTATTTGGCATTAATCAGAGGCACTTTAAATGATGGCAGGTGTGTATTGACTCCTATTAAGCATGATTTTGAATGTCATTGCTTAATTCTGAACACTGCTACATCCCCAGTTATAAGAGGGTGTGCACATTTATGCAAACACATTATTTTAGTTTTTTATGTTTACTTCCCCCCCCCTCAAAGATTTCAGTTTTATTTTTCAATTGAGTTGTACAGTTTATAGGTCACGTTAAAGGTGGAAAATGTTCTGAAATTAATTACTTTGTCTAATTTTTTTACATCACAGAAACCTGACATTTTAACAGGGGTGTGTAGACTTTTTATATCCACTGTATATGGCATAGCACTAATTGATATGGTGTATATATTTGTTGTGCACGAGTTAGCACATTTGATACAATTGGTTATTCGGGTGATACGTGCAGTTATGGTTTTTCCATTTATTATTTGTGGTACAGTAGCACATTTTTTAAATTGCAGCAATCACCTGTATACAATAAGTTATTTGGGGGAACACATCTGAGGGGCAGAGATTTTTTATTATTGTTAACGTGTTCCATTACCTGCAGCGCTCACCCCCCTGTGACAGTTGTCACTTTTTAGAATAGGGGCTCTGTCTGCACAGCTGCCTCATTCATTCACAGACATCAGTAAATGAAGAAGCTATGTACTGTAGTATTGTATTGCCATTGAATCCAAATATTAAAGTTTTTATGCTTTAAAACTGATCCTTGATGTCCAAGGACAGATTGTTTTTTTTTTTGTTTTTTTTTTTAGATTATTTATGGGAAATTATACATTTTATACATGAAAATGACCTGTTGCTGACTTTGGGATTTGTTCTTAATTTTTTTGCAACTGTAAAATAATAAGTCTAACTTTTGTAGTTTCATGTTACACCTGTATTTAGGGTGTAACATGTTACTAAAGAGCGTCTGCCTGCACCTCACCTGATTTCCCCCCCCCCATTCCCATGACAGCGGGTAGGGGATCTTCTCCCTCCATCCGCTGGCTCAATTTACCTCCTTCACGCCAAGGTTACGCAAATATGTGGCTTCTCGCTGAGTGGGCCTTGATGTTGAGAGGCTGCATATTTGTCTACCAAATTGTAAACAAACCTGTACCAAGAGCTCACGCTCTGTGTGTTCCCAGCACAGGTACCAGCTGCTACTAACTATCGGGAGCTTTCCAATCATGACCACTGTGACAGCCAATCCCAGCGGTCACATGATCATAAACCCGCCTCTCGGCATCCAAAACCCATTAAAGGGCTGTTTGGCACTGGTGTTAAAGGATTAAAAACAGCGCAGTTATGTGGAGCTCTGCCCACACAGATGTTTCATCCACAGCAATTTGTAAATGAATGAACTACGGTACAAGTCCCATCTGCCACTGTATCAGGTGGCTTGTAGTTCTCAATGAACTGCAAGTACATGGAGGAGTGACATTGTAGTTCATTGACTCTCTTCCTGGGCAGACAGCTGTACTGAGTGTCTATCTGTAGTGCTCATAAACAAGCATCGCCATAGAAAGTAATGAGTTCTATCTCCCTGCTTTAGGCCTCATGCACTCTGGATGTTTTTGCAGCTGCTTCTGAGGACGTTAGGCATTTTTGTTTTTCTCTTTCCTGCCTCTAAACTTCCTTGCATTTTAGCGTATCTGTCCATGCACATGTAGACTTTTAGCAGTTTTTAGCAGTAGGGGCTTTTATAACCAGAAAAAAAACCCCACTGCAAGTGCATCCAGAGAGCAGCAGAGTTTTGGCAGAAAAAAAGCTTGACGCTTGTAAATGCTTCTAAACGCATATTAACGCAAGTTGCGTTTTGCTCTTAATCTTTAATTCATTTAAAAGGCGAGAATAACTTATTATTCTGGCCAATTAAATTAACGCCCAAGCGCTTGACACTTGTAAGCGTGCCTAAAAGTGTTACACACTTTTAAAAATGTCAGGCGTTTTTTTCTGCCAAAACACTACAGCCAGGAGGAAAGTCTTCTGGGTGAGTTTGCAAAACATCCAGTGTTGCTGAGGCTTTAGTCACTGGTACACCATTTGCATTAATTCTGCTCAGAGGAGCTTCAGGCATCATAGCAGTTAGTAGTGCTTACAACTCTAGGCACCTGTTTAATTCAGCGCTGTAAATGTATTAAATTTCAGTACAACAAAGGATTTTTTAAAAAAAGCATGTTAATGTCAGAATGAATGACATCACTTTTTCCTAAACAGTAATCTAACAGCTGCATTTCTTTTCTAACTCAGATGGACCTTGATGAGGGAAGCAGTGACTTGTTTTACAAAAAGCTTCTAGAATTGGAAATGCACATTCGAAACAAAGTTATACCGGGAAATCGGTAAAAAGCAAATATGTTCAAGAATCTTTATACATTAAATTTGTATTTTTATGCTTGATTCATGATCTAATCAAGTCTATTATCTTGTAAAATAAATTATGTTCTTAAAACATGGGCTCCTCACTATTTGTTCTAGTTCTTTTACCGAGGTAATTTGTATTTTTGTGACTTAACTTTGTGACAAAAGGCAAAATCTGTAATTTTTGCTAAATCTAGCTTATTTGTGTGATATTACCCATTAGCTAAAATATAAGGAATCCTCCTGCGCTCAATGGAATGATTATTATAATACAGCTGCTATCACTTGACTAATACCAATAAGTGCAAACAAAAAGAAAAAATAGTGAAGCGCTTATATCACATAAATACAATAAAGTGCATTGAAAAATAAAAATGAATTAATATAGATATAATTCTAATAATCCTGTGTAACAACTCTATGTAATAGATATTAATGCCTCCCTCTAGTGGGGAAAAAAAATAATGCAACCAAATATAATTAAACTATAATAATGGCACACACTTTAAAAACCTATTATAACGTGCATATATCAAAATTCATAACGAAATGTGAATATATAAGTGAAACAAATTAATTAGCCACATGAAGATAGTGCCTAATTCATACACATGACATATATATCATAAGTGAAACAGAAAAAATGTCCATGCATGTGACTGTGCTTTTAAAAAAACACACGTGATCTCCACTTCTAGGTGCAAATACTCTCCTCCAAATGGCAGCAATGCCTGCTCACCTCCCTTCCTTGAGCCACACAGGGGCCAAAAGCAGTTACCACCTCAATGGTGTATCTCCTCTGGCAGACTCCTTATTCCTCCTCCTCTCTTATTCAACTCATAGAAAGACAAGAAAACTTTCCATAGTGTAGTATGTTTAATTAGGAAAAAGGTAAAACTACAAAAAGTTCCACTCACATGGTCCTCTTCATCAATAAGCGTTTTTACCACAGCCTATGGGTAAATCTGCATGCACTTGGGGGAATCCAATATGGCTGCGGCGTCCGGACATGCGTCACCAGGAAATGACGAACCGACGCGTTGCGTCACGTGCGTCGTGACTTCATCACCATTAGCTGATTGCTCTCAGAGGGAGTGATTGATCGGCTTTACAGCCCAGCCACCCAAAGACTGCCATCTTATTGCAAAAACAAGAGACAGATGGTGCACCAGCCTAGTGCATTACCTCAATGAAGATTTTATTATTGATTAAAAGAGTAGATATATACTCACAAACAACACAAGTGATAAGGCATATCAAACTCCTCAATGACCATGAGAATGCCAGGTGTCCTGGACAAATCCCAAATGCGACATTCCAAAAAGGCTGATGCGTTTGAAGGGGTGATCCGCTCTTCATCAGAACAGATTTTTGGATGCTGCATAACAAGTCTTTAACTGAATAGGGTCACATGATCAATCCCCAAAGCTCCTCCCATTTGTAGGAGGGTATACAAAAACGTACCAAATATCTCCTATCAGAATTATGTACAATTCCTCACTCCTGGACTAGTACTACCAGTAATGTTGTGCCATATCAGAATCTATATCTAGTGGACACCAGATTTAGAACTTGGCAGATGCATATGTGTATACATATAATAAAAAAAGTGTAATGAAAATATATACTGTATGTGTATATACAAAAAACACATACTCCTTCACAAAAAAACACTGAAATACAGCCTAGCTGTCACATGTACACAGATGCATGTCCTAGAAAGCAGCCGCTCATACTAAAGAAAATGGTAAGAATCCAAAATGGATAGCCAGTTGCTCTTGAGCGCATGTTGTGAAGAGCCGGAAGTGCGGCTTGGCCGTGGCGCACACTTTGGATCGGCTGTGGAGAGCATGCCAGCCAGTAGCTATCAAGTGCATAGGCATACAGACTGTTTCTACAAACATTTGTGAAAGAATGGGTTGCTCTCAGGAGCTCAGTGAATTTAAGTGTGGTACTGTGATAGGTTGCCACCTGTGCAATAAGTCCATCTGTGAAATTTCCTTGCTATTAAATATTCCACGGTCAACTGTTAGTGGTATTATGACAAAGTGGAAGCAACTGGGCAAAAACAACCACGAAGTGGTAGGTCCCTTAAAATGTCAGAACGGGGTCAGAACATGCTGATGTGCACAGTGCATAGAAGTCGCCAACCGTCTACAGAGTCTACGGACTAAGATTGGGGTGCCATTAAAGTTCATGTGCGTGTAAAGGCAGGCGTCCTAATACTTTTGGCAATATAGTGTGTGGGTGTGTGTGTATATGTATGTGTGTGTGTGTGTGTGTGTGTGTCATATATATATATATATATATATATATATAAATACACAGTTGCAAGAAAAAGTATGTGAACCCCTTGGGATTACGTGGAGTTTTGCTTGAATTAGGCATAAAATGTGCTCTGAACGTCATCTAAGTCACAACAATAGAAGAACACAGTCTGCTGAACATAATACTACACAAACATTAGATGTTGCCATGGTTTAATTGCACATAACATGTAAACATTAACAGTGCAGGGAGGAAAAAGTATGTGAACCTTTGGACTTAATAACTGGTTGACCCTCCTTTGGCAGCAATAACCTCAACCAAACGTTTCCTGTAGTTGCAGATCGGACCTGCACAACGATCTGGAGTAATTTTGGACCACTCCTCTTCACAAAACTGTTTCAGTGTAGCAATATTCTTGGGATGTCTGGTGTGAATCGCTCTCTTAAGGTCATGCCACAGCATTTCAATCGGGTTGAGGTCAGGACTCTGACTGGGCCACTCCAGAAGGCGTATTCTGTGCTGTTGCAGCCATTGTTTTGTTGAATTACTTGTATGCTTTGGGTCATTGTCCTGTTGCATCACCCATCCTGTGCGGAGCTTCAGTTGGCGGACAGATGGTCGTACGTTTTCCTGCAAAAAGACTTGATAAACTCTGGAATTCATTTTCCCATCAATGACAACAATCCGTCCAGGCCCTGAGGCAGCAAAGCAGCCACAAACCATGATGCTCCCTCCACCATGTTTTACAGTGGGGATGAGGTTTTGATGTTGGTGTGCTGCGCCTTTTTTTCTCCACACATAGTGTTGTGTGTTCTTCCCAAACAACTCAATCTTGGTTTCATCTGTCCACAGTATATTTTGCCAGTAGTGCTGTGGAACATCCAGGTGCTCTTTTGCAAACTTCAGACGTGCTGTATTCTTTTTTGGACCGCAATGGCTTCCTCCATGGTGTCCTCCCATGTACTCCATTCTTGTTTAATATTTTCCTTATTGTAGATGTGTCAACAAAAATGTTAGCATGTGCCAGAGATTTCTGTAGGTCTTTAGCTGACACTCTGGGATTCTTCTTTACCTCATGCAGCATTCTGCACTGTGCTCTTGCAGTCATTTTTACAGGATGACCATGCCTAGGGAGAGTAGCAACAATGCTAAACTTTCTCCATTTGTAGACAGTCTGTCTTACCATGGACACATGAACATCAAGGCTTTTGGAGATACTTTTGTAACCCTTTCCAGCTTCATGCAAGTCAACAATTCTTGATCATAGGTCTTCTGAGAGCTCTTTTCTGCGAGGACAGCTGTCAGCAACACATCCAATATCATCACACTGATTGGAGTCGAGGTTGGCTCACTCCTGGCTCCAATTAGCTCTGGGAGAAGTCATTAAGCTATGGCCTTACATACTTTTTCCTCCCTGCACTGTGAATGTTTACATGTTATGTGCAATTAAACCATGGCAACATCTAATGTTTGCGTAGTATTATGTTCAGCAAACTGTGTTCTTCTATTGTTGTGACTTAGATGATGTTCAGAGCACATTTTATGCCCAATTCATGCAAAACTTCACGTAATCCCAAGGGGTTCACATACTTATTCTTGCAACTGTATTGTGCACTTAACATCATACCCCTCATCCATCGCTTCAAGGCTAAAATTAAGATTTGGAATAGGCTTTGGCTCTCCTTGATTGGTAGGGCCAACCTTATTAAAATGATTTGTATGCCCCAATTACTTTACTTTCTCCATGACTCCCCTGTAGAGATCCCCCTATATATTTTTAGACTGGTTAACTCTATCTTCCGGACTTAACTCTGGAAAAATAAATATCCCAGAATCAAACTTGAGCAGCTTCAGTGCCCCAAAGACAGGGGTGGGGTGGCTCTGCCCAACCCATGGCTATAGTATCTGGCTGTTCAACTGCAGCATTTCATTGGGGTCTTTCAGTTGGGGGAGGGTGTCATTACCCAGCAGTCTTCCTCTGCCTGCTCTATTATACGACATCATATGAAAACCTTAGATATTCCTGGTGCACTGGATTTGTCTTCTTTTCATTCATCTGATAAGGCATTTCCCACTTCCTCATTAACCAGAAGGTTTGGCTCAGGGTAAGAGCCCTTCAGGGAGTAGTGGGTTTCAGTGAATATAGCCCCATCTGGCACAATCCAACCTATGGGGAACTAGAACACTTTCAGTGTACAGGGATGTGGAAGCAATATGGAATCATTCACCTGAAGCAGATCTTTGGAAATGGATCTCTCCTTTTCTGACCTATGTGCTGTGTTCTGCCTCCCTTTCACACTTCAGTTTTTCTATCTTCAGCTTTGCCATGCTGTCTGAGCCCAAGGCCCTCTGACCAACTGGTCTTTATCCCCCACACCCATCTTTCGTTATTTTCAATTGGTAAAGGATACAAAGGGCTTCATATCCAGGTGCTATGACATGCTACTTTTCCCATACCTAGAAGCTCATCCTTGTATGGCTAAGGAACAATGGGAGCAGGATGTAGGCCCATTGGATGAGGAGTTGTGGGATAATGCATTGGAATCTGTCTTGCTTAGCTCCCTCAATACCAGTCAATGACTTTCACAGTTATACATACTACTCCGTGCCCATTACACCCCTCTGATTTAAAACCAAAAATGGCGTGGGACAGAATATTTTTCTCTGCCACTATGTATGCTGCATTTATGCTCTCCAATCCAAACTCTGAGTGGATGTGATGTGCGGCTGACATTCAGCAGGCTGCAAGAGTAAAGAATCCCATACACTACAAATGGGGTACTGCAAAGGATAAATTGTTTAATGGGGTGTGTTTTACCATCAACTCCAATAACTTCTCGTTTGCGGTGCCATGTGAGGCAGCAAGTGCCACAGTTCTTATTGTGCTAGGAAATTTGTGTACCTTAATATGACCCTAAAGGCTCTACTAGCAGGAGTTTGGTGCGGTTACCAAGATTGACTGGTCAAACCTAAGGAGCCTTACTAAGTAACAGTCCATATTAAGCAAAGCCAATCCTGAGAGAATATGATTGGACACCCTGAAAAAACAGGGGTTGATCATGGTGTGAAAACTAAGAGTAGACTGACGTGAATCAGACAGTTGGAAACAAACTGGCAAAAGGGCTTATGTAAACATAGAAATATGAAAGATGCTATTGCTGATTTGTTTTTTTAATGGTGCAGACTCCATTGTTGCTGATTTTGGCCTTGCTGCCCATTTGACTTGGAAAATGCAGAGCGATTGGCTTTGAAACCTTAGGGCTATCCTACTGGTATAGGGAATTGTGGTGGTATTTGGACAGGGAGTCTGGATTCCAGGCTAACAGTTTCCCCATGCACAAGGTTTTCCACAGTTTATTTGGCCTTTCCCTGAATGGATCTGACAATAAAGCCCCCACACCAAGAATCAATTGTCCAGGTATATGCAGTTAGGTCCATTTGGACACAGGCACAATTTTAGTTTTTTTCAGGTATGTACCAAAACATATTCAAGCTATAGTTATATAATAGATATGGGCTGCAAGCGCACACTCTCAGGTTTAATTTAAAGGTATGTTCATCCAAATTGGAGGAAGGATTTAGGAATTACAGCTCTTAAGAGTAGCTACCCCCCCTTTTTCAAGGGACCAAAAGTAATTGGACAATTGAATCAAAAGCTGTTTCATGGCCAGGTGTGGGGTACTCCTTACTTATTTCTTCATCAATTAAGCAGGTAAAAGGTCTGGAGTTGATTCTAAGTGTGGTATTTGCATTTGGAATCTATTGTTGTGGACCTACATCATGCGTTCAAAGGAGCTGTTCATGCAAGTGAAACAGGTCATTGTAAGGCTTCAAAAACAAAACAAATCCATCAGAGAGATAGCAGAAACATTAGGAGTGGCCAAATCAACAGTTTGGTACATTCTGAGGAAACAAGGATGCACTGGTGAGCTCAGCAACATAAAAAGGCATGGACATCCACGGAAGACAACAGTGGTGGATAATCGCAGGATCCTCTCTATGGTAAAGAAAAACCCATTCACAACATCCAGACAAGTGAAGGACACTCTCCAGGAGGTAGGCATATCAAGTCTACAACCAAGAGAAGACTTCACCAGAGCAAATACAGAGGGTTTACCACATGGTGCAAACCATTCATAAGCCTGAAGAATAGAAAAGCCAGATTAGACTTGGCAAAAAAAATGTAAAAAAGCCAGACCAGTTCTGGAAAAGCATTCTTTGGACGGATGAAACTAAGATTAATCTGTAGCAGAGTGATGGGAAGAAAAAAGTGTGGAGAAGGTTTGGAACAACTCATGATCCAAAGCACACAACGTCATCTGTAAAACATGGTGGAGGCAGTGTGATGGCATGGGCATGCATGGCTTCCAGTGGCACTGGGTCATTGGTGTTTATTGATGATGTGACAGGAGCAGCCGGATGAATTCTGCAGTGTTAGAGATATACTGTCAGCCCAGATTCAGCCAAATGCAGCAAAGCTGATTGGACGGTGCTTCACAGTACAGATGGACAATGATCCAAAACACACTGCAAAAGCAACCCAGGAGCTTTTGAAGGAAAAGAAGTGGAATATTCTGCAATAGCCAATTGAGCATGCAGTTCACTTGCTGAAGGCAAAACTAAAGGCAGAAAGACCCACAAAGAACAACTGAAGACAGCTGCAGTTAGAGCCTGGCAAAGCATCAGAAAGGAGGAAACCCAGTCTTTGGTAATGTCCATGGGTTTCAGACTTCAGGCAGTCATTTCCAGTAAAGGATTCTCAACAAAATATTAAAAATGAACATTTATTTATGATTACATTCATTTGTCCAATTAGATTTGAGCCCCTGAAAATGGAAGTACTGTGTATAAAAATGGTTGCAGTTCCTAAAATTTGTACTTGATACTTATGTTCAACCCTTTGAATTAAAGCTGAAAGTCTACACTTCAAATTCATTTAGATTGTTTTGTTTTAATTTATTCTCATG